GTATCTAAGTGATTTAAGATTGTCATGAGTATTAGTGGATTGTCCATAGTGATTAGGCATAACATAGATATTGTGCTAACACTCATGAGTACTTAATAGAGATTTAAGTATTGGAACAACCTGCATTTTTAAATTACTTCATGTTGCAGAAACAATAATTATTTAGATCGATATATTCTATAAACGATGTGAATAAATAACAAGAACAATAAGATCAAATAGTGTTGAATGCTTATATTGAATAGCTTTAGAAAAGTTGAACGTGAACTTCTCTGTGAAAGCTAAATAGGGTGATACAATCGTTAACCCTAATTGTTAAAAGCATGTAATATTTATAGCCTAACTCTAGAAAGCAATAATCATCGATGGACAGGCCCAACCCTGTATAATGAGACTATAGTAGCATATATAATTGACATAACACACAATAAACCCAACACATGTATATAATCACGAGTAATTTCAAGATGATAAATGTCTTCTCTTCTTTAAACCAAGATACATGTGGAGTTTTGCTCCATAATTCTATTATGCATTAGTTAACTCCAACACTATTCATAACTGGTATGTCCACTTGTGATATGATGAAGTAGAGAAAAAATTTGAAGTCGAAGTTTATTTGTTACTTCTTCCTTAATAGGAGAAGTCACATCTATGGGACCCTTGATGATTTGGTGTTGACATCTAAAGTGCTAAGCCGAGCAATGGTGGAAATTGATGTGTTCAATTTGGTATTCAGATACAGTCGTCACAAATCTATATTGGGAAAAATAATCTTGAACACTAAGATTGATCCTTATCCATGCCTCAGTTTCATACAAATGTCATTGAAAAAAGAAATAGCTAATCACTTATCTAAGGGTTGAATCATGATTAGATCAGAGTTCGGTAGGTGCATTGGATGGCTACCTCTCTGTTGATTATTGAAAAAGTATTGGACCTCATATAGTTGATGACTTGTCCAAGTGAGAGATTTTTGGAAAGAATGTCAAAGGTTATTAACTATTGATACTATTTCCAATAATAATAGGATCCTTTCGGGTTGCCTTCATGACCCAAATTAAGTAGATTAAATACAGAAGAAATTATTTTATTAATTATTATTGTTTAATAATTAATTAGAAACTAATTTAAAAAGTATTTTGGGAATTAATTACATAATTTTAATTAATTAAAAGAGTTGAATATTAATTAATCAATAGTTGTTTAGTTGGAATGTTCTAGAACCCTTATGGAAATAGTATTAGACGAAATTCACTCCATCCTACATGAGATGGGAGGTGAAATTCGAATTTGGCCTCCATCTTGCATGGGATGGGAAAGAAATATAAGAAAAAGATCCAAGGCTATAAATAAGGCTCTATGGATCTCATAATTCCTTGCACCTTGTCTTCACAAATTCATCAATCCTCTTCCTCCCTTTATATGGGATGATTTCTAACCCTCTTAGGGTTTGTGAAATTGACTATTTTCCTAGTTACTTTTATTTTCTATTTGGTGTTCATTTTGTGTGGTATCATTTGAGGGCTTCTGATTTGGGTTTTCTCATCCTAGAAACCTTGAGAAGGACAAGATCTCTAGCATGGCGATCAATGGTTACATAAGAAGTATAGTATTCTTCCTTCTTTATGTTTTAGTAGAGTATTAGTTATAACATAAAACTTAGCTCTTTTGGGTGCATAAACACATAGGATTATTGTTATATTTTAGCTAAACATGATTTGCCTGTTTAGATGCATAAACAACCCAACCGCTTACTAGTCTAGTAAAGTGCTAGACCTTTCTGTAATATTGTTTCATTGTTTGCACTACTTTGCCACCGTCACTTCATGCTCACAAGTATTCACTAAACTTTATGGCATGTTTGTTGGTGTTCCTCCACTTTGAGTAAATTTGATTATTTTTTTATAGACTCCAATTATTATAAGGTGCCTTTTTTTTCTTGAGTTACAATTCATGTTGAATCTCTTCATGCTTGGAATCTGTTTTAGGTGTTATTTCAAGTTGAAAGTGAGTTTGGAATTGGCTTTAGGTTTGGTATTGGAGTTGGAGTTGAGATTCAGGAAGGTTGTCAAATTGGTCGAAGTCATTTCTCGGTTGGGATTGCACTTGAGATTAAAATTGGAATTTGGGTTAGCTATTAATATGATATGGAGTGTAGTATAAACTAGGGGTGCTCGTTTGGTTGGATCGGTTTGATCTGATCCAATCAAGTGAATCTAAATAGATTTTGGTTTTTAAAACATGATCCGATTAGTCCAAACTAAATTTAAATCTGATCAAATCCAACCAAATTATAATTTGATTGGATCGAGTTTTACAATTCAGTTTTCAAGAGGCAAGACATTTTGAAAAATATATAACTTAAATATTAGCAAAATCCATAAAGAAACTATTTTTTTTATAAATTATAATTTATAAACAAATACTAAGAAAATATATTATAGCTAATATTTCATTGACAAAAAACTTTGGATAAGAAGTAATTTTAAAGTAGTATATTCGATGAATAGTTATAAATAGTTAAAGATACATATAAAAAATAGATAATAAGTTGTTATTCGGGTTTTTGGACTCTTCGTTCCTTAGTTTATAACCCAAAATCAATCCGAAATCCAAAATAATAATTCTGTTTTGCTGAAAACCAATAAAAAAATCCGAATATCCTAACCAAATTGTCTGATCCAAATTGTCCAATTGGACAATTCGGTTTTATCCAAATAGTGAACAGTCTAGTATAAACCAACATAATGGTAATTAGGTGGTGAATAAATAAGACGATCAATTTGATTTTGGAGGAAGGTAAATGATGAAGGGTTTGAAGTGATTTTTTTTTTTTTTTTTTTTTTTGGAGTTTTGGGGTAGGATGGGGAATTGGAGGAAACCATTTTTTCACAAAATAGGAAAGAGTGTTTGAATGAAAAAAAAATGAAAGTTGTGACTTAAAAAATTAGATAGTTGGTATTTTAATGTTTAAAAGTGGTTAAAATTTTAAAATCTTTATGAGAAAAACGGATAATTTTTTTGAATATTGAAAAGTGGCATACTCTTTCTCATCGGAAGATTGTTGCCGAGTTTGCGGTCCGATATTTTGACGAGTGTGCGGCCGATATGGAGTTAAATGAAGATAATTGATAGGTGTAGATTTTAATACACGAATTCATCGTGCATTTAGGAGTCTGATCATGGAGTTATATCAATGAGGTTCAATTGTCTTGCTACTGCAATGTGGACCGTTCGTTTAAACAATTTGATGCTGTCAACTTGTTATCGCATGAATTTAATAAATTCACTTTTGAATGAGTGATTTATTAAAAGTGCTTCAATTATTTATATTTTAGGCAAAGTAAACATTAATGTAAAATTCTTAAAATATTGTAGAGATATCATTATGTTTTATTTAGTTGGTAGTGGATAAACTAGTTTAAAAATTCATAATGTTTTATAAAAGATAACGATAAGCTAGACCGTAAATATAAAAGGATATATATATATATATATATATATATATATATATATATATATATATATATATATATATATATATATATATATATATATATATATATATATATATATATAGCTAAAAATAACATTATATATAATTAGATATATATATTTGGAATAATTTTCAAAAAGTTCGGATAAGTTTTGAACAACAATTTCAAAATAGTGTATTTATAAACTAGAATAAGTTTTTTTTACAAGTTTACCAAATAATAAATTGCAACAAGCTAACCTATTTTTATGGCCATAGTATGAATTTTATTTGATGAATTGATATAACATCCCACTACTAGAAACATGGCTTTTAGAGACGGAAGAATCCGTCTATTCCGTCACTAAATGTTGTTTGCGATGGATCAGCGACGGATTGACTCCATAGGTAATTATAACGTGGCAAATAACTTAGTGAGGGTTTTAGTGACGGATCTGTTTTTTCTTGGGACAAATTTAGCGATAGAATATCCGTCGCTAAATGTCACTCAATACATTTACTCGGCGCATTAGCAACAAAATTTGTTAAAGTAGTTCCGTCGCAAATTTTCGTAATCAGTTTTTTTTTTCTGTAGCTAATCTCTTGCAAATTTCATATACTATTTTTTTTTTCCTGTCGCTGATCTGTCGCAAACGTTAGACATGATTTTTTTTCCATAGCTAATCCCTTGCAAAACTCGTACATTAATTTTTTTTTCCGTCGCTGATCCGTCACAAACTTTAGACATGATTTTTTTCCGTAGCTAATCCCTCGCAAAATTCATGCATTAACTTTTTTTTTTTGTTACTAATCCGTCGCGAACTTGTAATATCATTTTTTTATTATGATTCTAAAAGAAAAAAATACTACAATCATCAAATTATTATGCTAAAAAAACATTAAATAATGATACAACCAAACATTACAATACCAAAACTATCAAAGTTTACCAAAGTATCATTCAAAAAACATCCAAAAACAAAATTGTCCGCATAACATCAAACTCCAATAGTTAAAGAACATTTTAACACCAAGAAGTCCAAAGTATGCAAAAGAGGTACAAATAGAAAAAAAAAAAAAAAAGTTTTACCTTCAAAATAAGCATCGGGAAATGAGTTTTCACATAACATAACTTCAAAACAACATTTTAGTTGCTATCTTCATTTCATGTTCATCCAATCATCTTTGGTTCTCATTCCTATAAAACATTATTCAAAACAATCAAAACCATCAAATACAAAAGGTTAACAAGTCATTCAAAAACATCAAATACTAATGGTTAACATCATATTACCTCTAATTTTCAATTTCCCATCATATTTTGCAAGGCTGCATACATCTATTGCTGCAGCTTTGGCATCCATTTCCTCACGCATTTGTTGATGATTTCTTGTTGTTGATCTTCTGTTATTATATAATTCAACTGCAAGGGTAAAATTGTCATTTCACATGTATTCAGACAGAAAAAAACTGACAGTTTGAAACAACAAGGGTAAAAATGTCATTTACCCATCCGACAATATTAAGGCCTTTCTCGATAAACTGTCTTCTCTGTTGCTCTACCACTCTGCATATACTCTACAAAAAAAAAAAAAAAAAAAAAAAAAAAAAAAAAAAAACCAAATAAACAAAAAAACAAAAAAACAAAATAGTAATTTCATTTATTTATTTCTTTACTTAGTAAGAAAAAAAAAAGTAATACCTGGAGCAAGATAGCCAAAAGTTCCAGCTACAATTGTTGTGATATGATATTCTTCATCTTCCAAGAGTTTTGCAATACCAAAATCAGAAACCCTTTTGTAGCTCCCATAATCACAGCATTAAGTCGAGCATCCCAACCTAAAAGCTTAGATTTTTCTGCAAAAAAAAAAAAAAAAAGAAAAAAAAAAACATTTTTTCAAGAAAATGGAAATTGAAGAAAAAGGTGTTTGTAATGTTGATTTTTAATTTCTTACCACCAGATAAGTAATCAGATATTAACAATTTTGAAGTTGGAGAGTTCCAAGAATTTCAAGCTCTCTTTCAAAGAATCGATCAAATCCTTCATTTAATTTTACTATTCTTGTAATGCAAATACGTTTCCAATTCCATCATCCATTGATAGTTCCAAATCCTCCAGCTCCAGTTACATGTTCTTCATTTAAAGTTTCCAGCTTTTTTATAATATCTTTTGAAGAGTATGGTAAGTCTCCATGAAACATCACAATCGATGCACCTGGAGAACAAATAAAAAAGGATAGAAATATGATATGATCTTTAATTGTTATTAGAAATAGAAATAGAAATGAAATTCACCTCCACCAACATCTACTGCAAGACCTTTGGCATCATTTTTACCGAGTTTTTTGTAAGGAAAACAACCCCAGAAACACATAAGTGCAACAAGAAGCAATGCCTCCCAGAGTTCTTCTTTACATTATGGCTTCCTGTTTTTATAAAATGTACATTTATTAATTCTAAAACATAAAATCGTAAGTAATCTATTGATTTAAACAAGGAAAATGAATGTGATAGTGTAGTAGATAACATATAGATATTAGTTTACACAATAAGAAACTTTTATGTAATATTTTGTAGATTAAGAAGTAATTTTAGTAGAGTTTTTATGAAAATGTACAGAAAAGGTTATCTTCAATATTTGGATGAAACTTTTATGCAGCAGAGTAGAAGAAAGATACAAGACTGTTTATAAATTTGAAATTTAAGGTAAAGGGTAGTTGGGTTAAATAAAGTCAACTAAAAATAGTTTGACTGAAATTAAAAAGTTATAAAGAAAACCTGTAGGCTCTGAGCCTGTTGAACCCCCATCATCATCTTTACATAACTGATTAATATGCTTCCTACACAAGCAACAAACAATTACAATTTTCTTCATGATATAACAAAAGTCAACATACAAAAAAGTTTTAGAAAAAGTCAAAAGGGACTGAAGAATGAAGAATGAAGATAAGCATATACTTACAAATTCAAAAGGCTCCTCATATTCCCAAGTGATGTGGGAATACTTCCACTCAAAGAGTTGCTAGAAACATCCCTGCAACATACACAAACAAACCCTAGTTTTAACTTTTAAGAAGAAGAAAAAAAATTATTTACTGTGGACAATATTTAAGTAACTTACAATGTTTGAAGATTCGAAAGATTTCCTATTTCAGTAGGAATAAACCCACTTAAGTAATTATTCTGCATCATTTGAACATCTTTATTTTTGGATGTTAACATCTTAAAAAAAATCTGCATTTTTATTTGTTATTGGACAAGTGCTTGATCGTTTTTTAATATATATATATATATATATATATATATATATATATATATATATATATATATATATATATATATATATATATATATTGTCATAGAAAGTCAAATAAGAATCATTCTTTTTGTTGCCTAGTTATACAGATGTAGAAGAAGACCATTCTATTTATCTTCCACTCTCTTACCCCACAAATGTGAATATAGCAAATTCAGATCTTCAGGTCTTTATCTTTTGTTGTATTTATTTGTTTATTGTTGCATCCTTTTTTTCTTCTAATTCTCTAACTATCATCTAATTCTTAATTAACCTGTTAAATTCAACTAGCATAAAAACAGTGTCTATTCACCAAAAGATATACAAAAACAATCATAACAGAGCAGAACGTACCTTGATAATCTCTACCAGCTGATCTACACCACTTTCACCAGGAAAAAGAGGCTGTAAATGTCAAAAACTCATAAAGATCAGCAAAAGCTTTTTAAAAGTTGCAACTTAAAAAAATTCTAAGCCACAAGAGCACACAGAGAAAAAAGCTATCCAATCTCTCCTTCCATACTGTGAGTATCAATCACTATCATTATTGACCAAAATGCCCTCCAACTATTTCCATTTAGGAAACGAAATTCCATAACTTTTGATCCTATAATCTTATTTCACAGATTCATCTTTTGGGGAACACCATTTGAATTTATAAAAAGGGCTTGCACGAAAGTGATGAAGATTTTAACTGTAATTCAGACAAGGCATTCGTATTCTTTTGGTGACCAAAATGTCCTCCCACTAGTCATGGATTTTTGCTTAAATAAAATAACAGATCCTGAGCCAGAGATAATGTCATTTGATCAGTTTCTTATTCAATGCATGTCAATGGCAAAAATTGTTCTTGAATGCAAAGAATAGAAACCAATCATGACTGGATGTGTGGTAAATAAGAAAGTAGTAACCCTTGAGCAAAGAAAGAAAAACATTTCTGGAGCTGTTGCAGGGGTACTTTCGTCACTTTTGCCCAATGAAAGAGTTGTACTCTTGTGTAATGTATTGATAAGAAGGTATGTGAAAATTTGTCCTTTTTACTGTTTTGTAGGATGGAATTGGAGAAGGAATGGAATGGTTGATTGACTCCATTCCATTGGAATGAAAGAAAGATATTTGTTTTGTAATGATAATTGATTTCTGTGAAAGACTTTCAAGCAAAACCAAGCTTCCAAGATCCAAACAGCACTAGTGCTATATCAACCTTTGCAAATCATAGATTTATTTCTTGAGGGTAATATTGTCCGACTAACCCAAATTCGCCCTAACAACCACCTAAATTACCCAGCAACACTGCAACAGGGTCTGACCAAGCCATGAGTTTAGAGCCTCAATACAGTCAGGGAAGAGACAGAGAGAGGTGAGTGGACGCAGGTTTGGTAACAAAAAAAGGTACAACTATAATGAAGGAATTATTTAATGAGGGTATAATTGTCAATAAGTATAATTATAAGTGGATGAATAAAAATTTGTCTGTGGAAGAATCACCCCCCATTAGTACTTTGGTGAATATCATCAATTAACTAAACAAGAAAAAGGATATAAAAACCAAAATCATCCGTAAAGAACTCTTTGTGTGATGGTTGAAAAACAACTAATCAGGTATAGCTTTTTTTGCTTCACCAAAAAAGTAAACGGAAAATCAAAAGAAAGTCACTAAAAGAGGTTTTGTGCTGCCTTTCAGGAAGTGGCACCTTCTTCTGCGGCACCCAAATTATATTAATAGCAATTTCAACCAAAATTACCTCAAATTTAATCAAATTCCATCAATTCACAGCAAGTACTATCATCTAACACATATAACACATAACAATGGCCTAAAATTATGCAATTCATCCACAAAAGTTCAAAATTACCTCAAAGTTATTCAAATTTGTAAGAATAAGAGCTTGAATGGGATGACCACCACACTTTTCTAGCAACCAACAGATCAAACGGTGTTGGCACGAAATCACGAGTCAACGAGGAAGGGAGACAGACCGAGAGGAAAGCCACGTGGATGTTCTTTGGCGTCGCTTCAAGTAAACTTCAATGAGAGGCAATACAGGTAAGTGAGGCGATGCAGGTGGACAGTGGTGGAGGTGATTTCCATGGTGGAGGATGCAATTGAGTTAATGCATTGCGATTTAGGGCTTTGGGAGGAAATCATGCTTAGGGCTTCCAGACGGAATGAAATTAAAACGAATGAACGTAAAGAGAAAAGAGAGTGAAATGAGAAAAAAAAGGCGTGGGGCTTGCAACGATGGATTGACGAGGCCCAAGAAAAAAATCCCGTGTTTTTAAAAAATCCCTGGCAGTTCCCTAGCTAAAAATCTTTAACTTGCAACAGATTAGCAAGGGATTTCTTTTTGTCGAAAAAGTTAGATCAATCCGTCTCTAAGCCCTCGATGACCCATCACTAAATTTCTAAAATTAATTGAGTTGAAGGATTTTGTGAAATCCGTAGTTGATCCCTCGAAAAACATACGCTAATTAGCTACAAAAGGCTTCCGTCGCTAATGCCGTTGCAGAAGGTTTAGTTTCTAGTAGTGTCCAATTACTATAAATTTGATGCACGTGTTTAAAAATAATGAGAAAAAAACATTAAAAAACTTTTGATAACAAATTTGTCATCGATAAAGAAGACATATTTGAGTAGCTTTTGTGTTTGTTTTACCCCATTCTTGAAAGATATGTTCGACACTTTAGTGTTGATGTTTATCGGTTTATCCCCTCTCCACGTCCCCCAATTTTATTTGCTCACACAATTATCATAACATTTTTTTAATTATTTGATATGTTTTAAAAATAATTTATGCAATCATATGTACACAACTTGATGAGAAAAACTATTGGCATTAATAGTAATTATATAATATCGTATATATACATATTCAAGTTTAATATAACATGAGTGTTAAGTGTATTTGAAAATAGTCTATGTAATCATCAACTTCAAAAAATTTATTTGAAATATTCAAATTTAATATAACATGAGTGTTAAGTGTATTAAAAATAGTCTATGTAATCATCAACTTCAAAAAATTCATTTGAACCCTAACATTGAACTAAACGAGAATCATGCGCGTCGTTGGCGCTGTGTCACTTTATTTTTTCTTCTTCCAGATTGTATGATGTACCTTAGTTATTGGTTTGAAGTGCAACAGTAATCCATTTAGATGCAACCTTTTCAATATCTGCCTCAATCATATGAGATACAAATTTGAGAGTAACTGACACTTGTTAAGTTTCAAACAAATTAATCAGATTTAGGGTATCTACATCCACAAATTGTATAATCTAATATAAATCCACTCAAAAGGGCTCTGAAATCAAGATTTTCATTTGTTTCTTCTTGAGGAGTGTCTTGAAACTGCATTATTAATTATAAAATGCTTCTATTTCCATAAATAATGGTAGAAACTACAATTGAAATCCATTATTCCATATATGATAATTGATATTTAAAAACACTACCTCTAGCCTGAAGTATTTGACTGTTTTATTGGGGTCAGCCTTCCCTGATACACCAACTGATTCAACAACCTCCAAGCTCTTTTTATGTGAGTTTCATCTTCTTGCTGCACCCTTCAACATATAACCACAAAAAACCAATCAAATTAAAAAAACATCCAAAATTTTATAAAAACTTAATAGCGTTTATATAAATAATAAATTACATACTGCTGCAGATGTATCTCGACCAAGTTGTGCAAATTGCAAACCCATGCCTAGTTGATTTGACATAAACCTTGCAGCTGAAGGGTTCCTATTGGCTACAATCGCTTGCTATATCGGTTTTGACCTCCATAAACTCTACTTTGTCAACTTAAAATCCTAAAATATGAAAAGTAACGGTTTTAGTCTCTCAAAGATTAAATTGTAATTGTATATATATATATATATATATATATATATATATATATATATATATATATATATATATATATATATATAACAAACCTTGTTTTGTAAAGGGGAAGAAGGAACGATGATATGTAAGGTAGAGCTTTTGGGGAAAGTCCCATTTTCTATATCTTTTATGGCTGCATTTATAACAGGTAAGCAAAGAGATGCAGCATCCTTGAATTCATTTTCTTGACTTTCACCTTTTTTCCTAGAACATACGAACATTTGATTTGATCTATTGAATGTGTGTAAAACCAATAATCTAAAAGGAGAATTGGTTACTTACCAGTTTAGGGAGATTGATAAAGACGGTATCCCAATAATTAAGGCTTGTCTTACTCCAGCTATAGCACTCGAGGACAATGCAAAACAACATGAATTATAGAAGACTAAAATAGAACTTTAGAGGAATATGAGTATGACATTACAATATATAGTGAATAACCTTGTTTGATCAAACTTCAAACGCCCACTGATCCTCTCTGTGGCATATTGAGTTGGATGAATTGTGACATTATCCTTGAGGTAAACTATTTGTGCATCTTCTGGATCACTAGAAGAGCTTCTCTTGTTACTGTCAATACGGGTCAGACTTGATGAGCCCTAAAACATATTGAAAATATGTAGAACCTAAGGATACAAGACAAGGGATTCTAAATAAATTCAATGTAAAGCAACATGAGCTGATTAAATAAACTGACTAATAATGATTTTTTCTCTCTAAAACTAAAACACAAGCAAGCATCACTTAATCATAAATTTAACATCAATAACTTTACATTAAGTGAACTTTTAACATAAAATAGTAGAAATCTATGAAAGTAACTTTTATCAAGTCAAATATAGATATAGACACAAAAGATTTTCGAAGTTTCTCCCTTGACCTACTTACAGTTATCAACTAAGAAGATCACTTCCAATCAATATGAAGTAATTTGTTAACCTATCCAACTACTATTACCAACAGTTATAGTTAACCAAGCCCTAAAACCACAAATCAAGCCAACAACTTCTGAATAAATCCAATTGAACTACTGCCTAGCGAGTTTCACATAAATATGAGTACACATCAATAGCTTTCCAATTAGGCCACTACAAGTACAAACAGTACCAGATCATGCTACCAAAGTGATCAACTGATAACAGATCGCATTCAATCACCAAACACGATTAAACTTCTATCACTAACAAACCTGATCGCAGGAGCCCTAACTTACACGAAACCAATAACCTTTAACCTCGCTGCCAGAACACTCAAACTAAATTCAATTCGCATCATTACCATTCAAATCAATGTACTTCTAATTTCACGATTGATATTAGATATAGTAAGATTGAGTTGCGTACCTGTTTCGAAGCTGCAGCATAATCGGCGTCGCCGGGCAAATCGTGAATCTCAGTTTTGCATTCGTTTGTGGTATATCCAAAAAGATGAAGCAGCAGTATTAGGGCAGACAAAAGAGGAACCTGTTGAGTGAATAGAGAAGAACCGAAGAATCCCAAGAAGAAGAAGAACATGTATAAGAGAAAGACCCGCAGGTAAACCGAGACTACCGAGACTAAACCACCCACCAATTAATCCACCTCCGCTGCCTATTTTGCCTCTTGTTTTCATCTTTCCCGATGGTGATCATATCGTTTTCCGGTGAAGTAAACTCAAAAGTGTACAGTGATTGCTATGATTGATGATCAATAATCACGGGACGGTGCAATCAAATCAAATATAGCTGGAAGAATTGACTTTGTAGGCAGCGGGAATTCTTGCTATATTTGGAGAAACGATGCTAAAACGAATTGAAATTTAGGCAGACATGGACCGTGGATACTCATACTAGTGGCGATTAGCGAAGAAATTGGGATGGAGGCTCGGAGGATAAAATTCCTGACATCAAATACTTGTATAAGAAAGTGAATCGTAGATAAATTATTGTAAACAAAAAAAGATAGACAAAGAAAATTAGAGAAGGATGGCAATGTAGAAGAAAATCGATAATGAAGAAAAGAAGATAAGGATAAGGAAAAGGTAAGGCGATTTGGGGGAAAAAAAATAGAAGTTTTATAATACGCAAGCGAAAAGGGGGAATTGTTAACATTGTGGTGGTAAAAGATTCTTGTTCATCATGGTTTTAACAATTAATATATATATGATTCCACAAAGTTATTCTAAATAGCAAATATAGTAGTATAGTAGTTAACTAACAACCAAAACATTAAAAGAATGATAATTTTTTAGTCTTATTTATTTCAATACTTCATCATATAATTTCACAAATATATCCTAAAATATGACCAAAATATGTGTTTTAGTTAAAATTTGAGGTGCACATATAGCAGTTTTAAACTAAGCGGACTTTTTCTAAATGTTGTATTTTTTTAAAACCATTTTCGGTTATAATCAGTTCAATCTTTTGGAACTTAAATTTCATTTAAAAACTGTTTTTTTTCGGTTAAGAAAAATTGGGTTGATTCAGGTTTTCTAGAAAAACTTAGAAAAAACCTGGTTTCATTTTTTTTTTTTTACCAAAAAGGCTACATTAAATAAATGATTCAGTTTCATGGTCGTTTTGATAATTGACGACTGGAATAGAAGCTGATTTGGTTAGAAGTTCTAAGTTAACTTCTAACTGAAACTTGTTGCTTGAGTTTACATTTAGCTCATTGTGAAAAATAACTATATTACCCTCAAACAACATTTTTTATAATAAATCATTTATGATTTACCATTTAATTTATAACATTATATTTTTATAAAAACATTTAGAATGATGTAATTTACAACCATTCTTTAAAAAATATGCATATAAGCATATAATATAGGGACACTACGATAAAATAACAAGGTACCACATACCCGGTCAACCATTATATGCAAAAATAGCAAGCAACTTTCATTATTGACATCAAATGCAAACAATACAACAAAATAGTAACCATCAAATGCCAAAATAATAGTCAACACAGGGACTTATAATTCGTAGATCAAATAATAATTTTATAACCTACAAGAATCCTTATAATTCTTAGATCCAATAGTAATTTTATAACCTACAAGAATCATATTTGACCTTATATTATCAATAACATTTGATGTCAAATAATGCAACATATTTTTCTACAACTTTAATTTGAAGTGCTGATACAACCATCTTAAATTTATCATTTTGAAAATGAAATCTTGCCTTGTTAGACTAAATTATACATAATTTAATGTTCTTCCTTGTGTAATAAAGCAAAAACCCAAACACGTAACAACCAAGAAAAAACAATTACAAGTACTGCAAATAGTCACTCTGATCTCTCCTATTGAATCACCCACAAAGCATACCAAACATCTGTCGATAAACATCAACGCATCAATTTTATTTTCTAATTCAACCACATCTCAATTGATTCCATTCACTTTTACCAATTTAAATCAGTATTTAGGTCGTCAAATATTTCCATCAAACAATTAAAGTTAACCAATTCCATGTATAAACAAGAAATCAAAAATCATCAATGATTCTTTAGATCAAACTTTTGTTGGGTTTTTATCCAAAAATTAGTTTCAAAAACATGGTATTTGGCATGGAAATATTTGATCATTTTTTGAATAGCATAAACAAGTTAAACCTACCAATGATCATCTTGCAAAGTTTGGAAAGAAAACAAACACAACCAAAGAAGAATAAGAATAAATAACAACATTTGTAATTCTTTGGATCCTCTTGGGAGGCTTGGAAGTTGATGAAGAATAATGAACTTTAGAGAAATCAACAAGAAGCCAACTTGATGTAGATTCTAGTATAAAACTCTTAACTCTTAAGCTTGAAGTTCATAACCAAAGTATAAACTTCAAGAGAGTATAACACCAAGTAATCTTCATTTGGTAAGGAGCCTTAGATATCTAACTCTCAAAACATAAGAGGAACAACTCCCATCTTGATTACATAAGCCTCTTGCATAGTTTATACCATACCTGAAAATGGCTTTGTATAAATGCCCCATAAAGGACCAACATTTGACCATATCTAAGCACATTACTCCCTACACTTAAGTCCCACTATGTATCTCATGTGTTAAGGATACAAAGATAGTACCTTTTAATCAAGTATCATCCATGATAGCGATACATGAGATGATATTGATGTGGGTCATTTCAATACTAGTTTTTTGACAAATACCTATGAAACTTGGTTACAACCCATTGTCTACCATCATCTAGTGAAAGTCAAACAATCCAACTTAGATTATTCTTATTTCATAATTGCTTCCACAATTATAACCGACTATGAACTTTTAGAATAATAAAATTATTCATGGATTAAACATGTTAATATAGAACACAACGAGTATTGATGTTATGATCACATCCTAGTATATCAAAACATTATATAATAGTTGTTGTTACAATGTTGGAATATCCAAATACTAAATCCAAATCAAAATACCATTTCTATAATAATAAAGTATTATGGATGAAGTGTGACCATTCATACTTAGCCCAAAATAAGGACTTTATTAATGGATTCGACTAAACTTAATTTGTGTGAATTATGTGAATACTATCATCTCCAAACTTAAATGTCTTGGAGTATATGATTGGTGTTCTTTTGTGAAATAGATTCTCTTAGCTCGATTAATTATACTCTCGAAGTCACAAAGATTTGTATGTGATCCTTGAATGACAGAGACCAACATATCTTTTCAATGAACTTATTCATCTAATCATATTAGATTTAAACTTCTAAAGTAGTGTACTCTTATTTTGTTGTATACTGTGTCATTTTGTTTTAGTTAGATCTCATTCCAAGAAAACTTACTCTCCAACCCTCAATGAAGTCATAATCCAATTATAATTCATAATTATATACATTTGTTTAGAATCAGAATCTTGTGTAGCTCTTTGAATGAATATTTTTATTTTAAACTATATGTCTTATATAAATTCTCTTAGTTCTTCCAAAGTACTCTTAGGATGTTTCTATAGCCGTTCGGTGACTTAACAATGTATTCAGTTGGTATATTAGGATATACTCATAGCATGATCAGATATCAAGTATTATGAATAATATGGAATAAATGATGGATTCATTTGCCAATAAAATCAAATATAAATCGTTTCAGCTAGTTTAAACCTATAAGCTAGGTCCTTTTGAGGTTGGCTTAAATTCAATGCCATGTGACAAGGCTAAGGTTCCTCTAGATAAATCTTCTATCTTGATCTCTTTCAAGACATTGTAAATATATTTATAGGTATATGAAATTTTTAACATTCATTTTATCTATCTCTATAGATTTTACATTCCAAGAATGTGTCTTGTGCTTCCTAAGTCTTTCATTATAGAAATACATTGCGAGTCAAGGTGTAAGTCATGGAATGGTCAAAATATAATTTATCATGATTTAAGTATGTCTCATTTATACACAATTAGGAATGTCACTACGCTCCCACTAGTTCCTAGTAAACACATATGTTCTATTCATTTTCATATGAAAGGACACCTTATGGTTTCATATTAGAATGATGATTACAATATTGAGATGTTCTCTTTATATCCACAAGTAGATCTCAAGCTTTACACATTTTTTAGGATAATATGGATTAAAAAAACCTCTAGGCTAATCTATAAACATATCTTCTAGTAGATGTCTATCAAATAATCCGGTCTTTCTTGAAATCTATTTGCTATATTTAATATTAAGAATATGAACTTATAGTAAACAATATCCTTATTGATCTAATCATATCTACTTGTGAAAAAGGTTTGATCAAAGCCAATATCACGAGTATGATAAGGACCATAGTTAATGACATGAGTATGAGTAAAACCTTTTATAAGAAGTCTTGCTTAAAATTTATATAGTTATCCATGTAATGTATTCTTTCCAGAAGAATCACATTCTCCTTCTAGTCTTGCTATAAAGAGAAAGTTCAATCAAGACCATACTTGATTATCATACATGAATTACATGTCATGTTCATGTATCTAATTTATTAATCAGTTTAGAGATCTGATATAACATCTTGGTATTTGATCTATTTTCTAGAATACATCTATTAAAGCTCATTAATGAGAAATTCCACATTTCTCAAGTCATAAATGATTCATACCACTAATGCAAACAATTTGTGTTTGTAAATAACTATTATTCATGTTTAAAAATTCTTTTTAAATGTATTGACAACTGTAAATATATTAGGTTATGGTTCTTGAGATGCTTCAAGTTCCATGTGCCTCCCACTTGCTTTGTCAGTAGAAGCTTGCTTTCTGCTAACTCGAATATTTCAAGAATATGAGAGCATATTATTGGGGGGTTTGCATATAATAATCTAACCCACATTTAGATCACTATATACAAATATGTATAGCGCCAGTTCAACATAGGCTTAAAATCCATAAAACGTTTAAGTAAGATAGATGTAACTAATGGGTTTTATACAAACAATCCTATGTGTGCATGCAACCCTAGATTTGGATCTATGTTTTCACTATTAGATACAAAATTTTATGAACACAAGAACTACCATAGCATGCACCTAGGAATTTTGAAATCTATATAGTAGAAGGGATTACATATCTCTTGTTGTTATATTGTAATAACAACACAAGTCTTCAATCTCCTTGTCTTGGA